CCCTGGCAACAAAACACAAGGACAATTAATCACTAACGCTGGGAATTGAAATGTAAACAGAAAATGAGATCATGGCTTTGCTATTTTTTCTCTGCTGATACCAGTGAACTCACACCAGTCTTCTTATGCAGAATGTGCCCTTCTTCACACAGCTGAAAATTCACTTCCTTCACTGTCCCAGCTGCTATATTATTTTGGTTAACTGGTTAAAAGTTCACCTAACTGTAATTTTTTAAAACAATTTTCTTTTAGGTACAATATTTCTTTTTAAAAAAGGGCTTTATCTGGGTGCGGTGGCACATGCCTATAATCCCAGAGGCTCAGGAGGCTGAGACAGGAGGATCAGGAGTTCAAAGCCAGCCTCAGCAATAGCAAGGCGCTAAGCAACTCAGTGAGACCCTGTCTCTAAATAAAATATAAAATAGGGCTGGGGATGTGGCTCAGTGGTCAAGTGCCCCTGAGTTCAATCCCCAGTACCCAGCCCCCTAAAAAACAAAAGTGCTTTATACAAAGCCCTGTTTGAAGTGAAGCCTGTAACTCTTTCTTAATAATCCATGGACATTTTTATGTACTTTAACTATCACATTCAAAGAAGACCGTTGGGGATGCTGAATTATGAAATTCTTTCCGTGTATGAAATTACTGCCGAACAACACGCCTTTACAATTCTTATATCTTCTTTATGTATTATTCTATTTCCTGTCTTTTTATTTTTAATATGTTATGAGTTAGAAACCACTTGAGTTGGTCTTCTTGGAACTTCATAAAAAGGAGACTAAATAAATAGAGAGTGAGGGCTTGGGAAAGGGATTCTTCTGTGCATAACTGCATGAATCATGTGCTTCTATCTTGGTGACCTCAGTTTTGGAGTAATGTAAGTTGCATGAACCTGGTAGATGGAGGTCTTATGTACTATTCCTAATTCTACCATAGACTACTCAATATTATCATCCCATCCTTAGCTCTAGTTATCCACCTGTAAGTCAGGAGTTGGAACTTGCTAAACTCTAGATTCCCTTCCAAGTTGGATATATTAGCATTCTTACAAATCGTCTTTGTTTTATATTAAATCAACCAACAATGAGCAAGAGTTTCAACACAGATTGCTGCTGCTTATGAATGAATTTAAGCTTATTTATGATTTATATCTATGTGTTATGGTTTAGATAATAGGTGTCCCCCGCAAAGCTCATGTGTGATACAAGGCAAGAAGATTTAGAGGAGAAATGATTGGTTTATGAGAGCCTTAACCGAATCAGTGCATTAATCCTCTGATAGAGATTACTGGGTATAACTGTAGGCAGGTAAGGTGTGGCTGGAGGAGGGTCACTGGGGGCTTGCTTTTGGGTATACATTTTGTAACTGGAGAGTGGAATCTCTCTCTCTCTCTCTCTCTCTCTCTGCTTTCTGATCATCACGTGAGCTCATTCCCTTCACTCTTTCACCATGACGTTCTGCCTCATCTTGAGCCCCAAGAAATGGAGGTGTCTGTCTATGAGCCAAGACCTCTGAAACCGTGAGCCCCTCAAATAAATTATTCCTCCTCTAATTGTTCTTACCAAGTCTTTTAGTCACAGCAGTGAAACAGCTGACTAATATACAATGTAAATATAAAATTGATTATCAAAGAATAGTCATGCCTTGGGCATTAATAATTCCAGCCACAGCAACTTGTTTCCTCTAACCCGGCATCCCCAAGTAGTGCCTAGAGCATGGACACTTTCAAATGAAACCTACCAGAGGTTATTTAAATCAAATAGAGACCTACTGAGCGTCTGTGATAAATATCTGTCCTCTTCTTAACTTCTGGGATTAAGGACTTTTTCATGATGACAGATAAACACACTGCCTGCAGAGCCAAACTATTTCAGAGGACAAGGAAGCATGTCCCCGCTGAGAGCCATGACAAAAATGAGTCATACAAACTTGAGAAGCAGAGGAGAAAGACAGTAGCCTAGGGCCACAGGAATTCAATCTGAAGCCCAGAATAGAGTGCTGGGATATCAGGGCTGGCAGGGACCTTGAAGAGTTATTTCAATCTCCCTTCTTCTAGAGGAAACCGAAGTTCAGAAATGGCAGAGTGACTTACACAAAGGTAAACAGATAACCTGAGCATTTTCTGATGTCAATTTTGCTTTTGGAACTGTTTTTAGACTGGGGAAAGAAGCCACAAACCCAAAGAGTACATGACAAAAGGCACAGACACTTGACCAAACAATTTTCCTGGCTCAAGAGCCTCTCGAAACCTTATCTTGGGTGCATGGATTGTCTCCCAAAGAGGATGTGGCTCAGTGACAGCCTTAACCTAAACAGAAGGGTCACTGGCCCTGGTTAATATTTGCATGTCCTGCTATGAATTATGAAGTTCTACAAAGATCGTTTGTCTCTGAGTAGGGATGAAGGATTGAGCCCTGACTTCTGTTTGGATTCTCCCATCTCTGAGGTTATCATATCAACATGGAGGGAACATATCTATGGAAGACATAAATTTATAACAATAGAGAACCATGTGGCTGAGGATCACAGACACCCTTTCTATTTCTTTTTGTGGGCAACTGCATCCTTGCAGACTATAATTATTGAGGGCACCAGTATGTGGTTGTATGTAGTGAATTTGTTTTCTTTTAGCTCCATTTGACAAATATTTAGGTACCAAGTTCTTTCTGAACTATCATGTGGAGGATGTAAAAAATTACTTTTTATTTAAAAAAAGATCACTTATAAAGCATGAGCTTTATAAGCATATCCCCTGCCTCTGGGAATGTGACATTTTAGTAGGAAAATAAGATAAGTACTCAAATGTGTATATTAGAGTATTATTGGTAAATAATAACTACAATGAAAGATGGAAAGGCTCAGGGGCTTAAAGGAAAAAACTGCATCCAGATGAAGGGGATCAGAAAACACATAGAGGCTGAGGATGTTGCTTAGTGATTGTTGTGTTTTTCTAGCACATGCAAAGCCCTGGGTTTGATCCCCAGCACCACCAAAACCAAAATCAAACAAAACAAAACAAAACATACACACACACACACACTTTGGGAAAAAAAGTCCTCTGAGCTAAGGAATAGTAGGTGAGTAAGATTTATCAGGTAGGAAGAGTAAGTGGAGGATTGGAGTGGTGGGGAGAACAGAGGGAATAGTGAAGCCTTGGGGTATCCAGAGTCTCCACTAAGTTCCATTGTCCCCTGCTCCAAACACCTGGTATAGGAGAGGGGCTCTGTTGGAGGTAGAGAGCTGGGAAGCAGATCTCAGGATGAGAAGGCAGAGTCTTTGTTTTCTATGAGCTATCTCAAACACAAAGCTCCCAGGCAAAACTGAGGCAAGGCAGCAGAAAGCAGGTCAAGCATCTATGGGAAGCCAGCTGCAGCTGCTCTCTAGAGGTGCCCCTTCACATCAGTTCACAGCTACATTGCCATTTACCAATCAACACCTCCAATGTACAGAGAAAGCAGCTCAGGAGTGATTTTTTTATTTCATAGATAAGGAAATTGAAGCTCAGATACTTTAAATGAATTGGGCAAAATGAGTGTGAATCCAGAGAGTGATGAATGCTCTTTGAGCAATGGATCCAGGTCTTCCATGGAAGCATGCCGATTCCCTGGAACTCCTTAGACCAACAAGCTCCCTTATAGTTCAGATGCCTCATGGTTTGGCTCATCAGTATTTGCAAGGTGTATCTTAGAACCCCTCTGAAATCTACTATTGGCTCTTGAAGAACATTTTAAACTTATTTTAGAGAGAATGCCGAATTATTTTATTAACAATTTAGTTAATCTTTGAATTACATGCTCCAGAATTTCCTTCCCTATATGTTTTCAGGTTAGAGCTGGCATAAAGAAAAATTTGTGCAAGTTTGAAAAGCAATAGCCATTATTCTGTTAAGGTTGTTTGGACAGATGCAGTTGTGCCAATAAGTTTTAACTTCTTCACATTCCTTTACTTGGCATCCCATGTTTCCTTTCAACCATTGGCTCTGATGACCAAGAGTGGCCCATGTCTATCACCAGGTTCTTGCTTGTCATTCCACTGAGGCTTTTTGGAGCTCAAAGCTTTCAAGCACCTGTTTTCATGAGCTTTGCAGTCACAGTCCCACTTTGGTCCCATAGACTTGACTTACCAGATTTCTTTGCAGATGCCAACACCTTCACCCATGGCAAAGTCTACAAGAACCAGTGGGTGACCTTTTCTGTGGTTCTCTAACTTCTCATCACCAATTATTAGTTCCTCAGTTCTTTCTATGATTACATGAGCTGTAATGCTCACAAGTGTCTCAAAATATTCATAGAGGCTTTGCTTTTGTGTTTGAACATGGACTGATAGAGTTATTGGTGTCAGGAGTAGAATGCTTGCTGTAGCCAAAACAAAAACAAAAACAAAAAAACCCAAAAAAACTAGAAAATGTGGCCTTGGTTTTGGAATTGGCTAACAAGTGAGTTCTAGAACATAGGTGAGGATTCTACTATAGAAACCTTGAAAAATAGCTACCTGAACTCTGTAGTGGTGACACAATTGGCAATTGTGTTTGGGTAATGAAGAAGCTAGAAAAATGAACATAGTGAACTTATGGATCTGGCTAAGAAGACCTCTAATGAGAATCTTGAAAGTACAGCCTGCAATTCTATCCTGTATGGCAAGGTCTTTGGGAAGAAGTAAGACTTTAGCATGTAAGAATAACATAGGGGACAGACAGGCCCAGGACTGGCTGGCTGGGTTGGAAAATGGCAAAACATTTCAGAAAGCATGAAGAGATTCAGGATAAATATCATGTCATGTGTGTGGCTATAATAACTGTAGGTTAAGATCTAAAAGATTTAAGCCAGTAACTTGTACTCTGTATCTGCTAGACTAAAAGGCACCCAAGGATCTTAAGGACTTTGACATGCTCAGCAAAGTAGAGAAGGTATTTTGAAAAGAACACTGAATGTGTACGTGTGTGTGTGTGTGTGTGTGTGTGTGTGTGTATGTGTGTATGTGTGTTCTAACAGGAGACCCAAAAGAGATTTTAAGGTAGACATGTCAATCTGGACTAGAAATGACTGAGACATTTCAAAATGAGAAGATATCTCTGGGCCCAGAAAGAGGCGTTGATTGCAAATATGACCCATTTCTTGTGGAAAGGGAAGAATGTCTCAGAAGGTAAAGCTAAAAAGAGAGAGGCAGAGTCAAGACAATCAGGAGGCACAGATAGCAATGAACTGGGAACCATTC